CCCTATCCACTGAGCCAAACCGGTCAGGGCTCGGTGTTCTCTTGTTTGTGGATTCTGTGTCCCCACTAGACGCAACCTTGTTTAGTTGACCAGAGTGTAGAACAGTGCCTGGCACCCGGTAAAGGCCTCGGTAGATCCCTGATGAAGGAGTGGTCAGAGCTCCATTCCATGGGGGGGCAGCTGAGACTTGGCCTATGTAACAAGGGGAGTCAGGGCCCAGTGGGGACTGGGATCCAGGGCTGTCTGGACCCTGAAGTCCTTGCCCCAAGTCCCTGAGAAGGCAGGGGGGATGGGATTCTGAGCACAGGTGCAGGGAGGACCCTCCCAAGGGACGAGGGGACAAGGAGACCAGGGGAGGAGGGAGCCGAGGCAGGAGGGCCTTGGACTCCCGCTCCCCTGAGCGCATGGTGGGCCATGGGCCCTGGCTTCTCTTCTCTTTGAGAAGCAGGTGAAAGGTCTTTCTGAGGGAGGAAAGCTGGTCCAGGAGTCTGCAGCACGTCTCCATGTGCCCCCAGGGCACTGATGTCATTTCAGCCACTTGCCCAGCTCCCCCTCGTCTTCCTGCCCCAGCCTGGTCGGCCAGGGCTGGGTGACGACCCCCAAGGACAAGATCTGATGGGCCTGGGGATCCAGCCCTGGGAGGAGGGCAGCTGGGCCTCCTGCCTCCCAGGCCCTTGCAAACGCCCAGCTCCTCTCCTAAGCCAGCTGGGCCCCGGGGAGGGGCTAGAACTGAGCCAGGCCCACCCAGGGGTGCTACTGGCCCCTTCCCCACCCTAGTTTTGATCTGCTCCCTCATGACATCAGTTTCGTGTTCTTTTTGTTCTCAATTAGTTTTGTCTTTGTCTCCCAGTGGGAAATGAATGCATGCTCATTATAGGAAATGTGAGCAAACAGAGATTAGAAGAAGAGATAATACATGAGAAATTGCTATTCTAATGTGGTATCACTGTGGCTTCTCCTGGCCAGGCCCAGGCTGGGCAGGGGGCACGGGCCCTCTGCCTGGCGTGGTCAGCAGGCCATCGGGCACTGGTCTCCATGGGACGCCCCGTGGGCTTCAGGAGGGGCTGTGGGGCCACAGGCGTGTCTGAGTGCTGCAGGAGCGGAACTGGTGTCCCAGTGGCGTCTGTGTCACTGTGTCTGTGTCACAGTGGCCACAGGGAGGTCTGCCCAGGCAGGGCACGGGGCTGGGGGCAGCTCTGAGAGACGCTCTGAGAGAATTACTTTCCATAAGAGAGGCACTGCGGAGGGGAAGGGAGAGAGCGTAACAGAAAGTGAGGTTGTAAGTAGAAACGGCTTCTGGGATCTCACCGGCTTCGTCATGGGGCCCTCCCTGGCTGCCGGGAAATCAGTTGATCTGGGAAAGTTCGTTGGTGCAAACCTTTTGCTCTGCTGCTTTTGGGTGGAGCCAAGAAAAGAACGAAGATAATGAGACCGTATGACTTTTCTTTTTCAGGGTAGGAGTGGGCCTAGTGTGTAGGCGGGTGATCGTGGATACAGCCACTGGTTCTGACACTGGCTCGGCCCTCCAGAAAGGCCAACTGGCCAGCGTGTCGCACGCCAGGGCAC